AAACACAGAGTCCCCACTATTAATCATGTTTGCGGCAACATTGTGTGTTAGAAATTCCAATAGAGTTGATTTTGGATGAATCTTCATCATCATGTTGGATAACAGCCTTAATCACACAGCTACAAAAGACTGATTTTGCTCAAAGCAATAGCTGATAGAATTTCCTAGTCAAAGTCCAAATCTGAATCCATGATGAGAGAGAAACTTAGCTGATATTTTGCAAGAGAAGATGGAAAAATGTTTATGTGCACCTTATGATGAAGACAAACTCAAAAAGAACTGCAGCTGTGACTACAGTGTTGTGGTGAATGGTACAACAAACTCTGCAGGTCTTTATTTGTTAAAAAGAAAACCATTTATGTGTAACAAGGACAATAAATTGCATTGAGACTGATAGTTGTAATGTGAGTAAATCCAGAATCCTTCCTAGGGATGCAATCAATTTGTATCCCATGTAAAACGGTTCAACTCCACTTAAAACGCCTACATACCGACAAGAATCACTACCACGCTGGCGGCTCCGTACTGCTCCACCTCCCTGATCCAGTGGGGAACAGATTCAAATGTGCTGCGGCGGCTGATGTCGTAGGCCACCATGGCTCCATGCGCACTGCGGTAGTAACTCTGTGTTATGGTGCGGAAACGCTCCTGTCCTGCAGTGTCCCACACCTGCATCTGGAAGAACGCAGAGTACAAATAAGGGCCAAACTGAGTGGGTTCAGTATCAGCAAAACACTGAAAACTGAAGCAGACAGTGTGGTGAACTGTGAAGGGTTTCATTAAATTGTTGTTGCTTTGAATTTAGCAACGCAACACATCCAGAGACCAAACACAAAGGTAATACCAATAAACAAAGCAGAGGTTATTTCATTTTAAGATAGTAGAAAGGGAATAAAAAGTAGTTAACAAGATAGTTTTATAAGTACTTAACATGAAAACATATAAATCCAAACCGTCTCATGGAAATCAGTCTTTCTAGAAAACACACAGAGACAGCTGCTGAGTACCTACCTTCACCTTCTTCCCATCAATGTCCAGGGTTCGAACAGTGAAATCAACGCCGATGGTGTTCTGCTGCTTCTCAATGAATATACCCGACTTGAACCTCTGCACCATGCAGGTCTTTCCAACATCAGAGTCCCCGACCAGGATGATTTTAAAAAGAAAGTCAAAGGTGTCCTCGACCTCTGGCTCAGCAGACTGCATGGTGACAAAAACTTTAGTTGAAATGCAGTATCCCAAGACCTTGGTGCCTCCCTGCAACAGAACTGGTTTCCTCTAAGTTGTGTAAATATAGGAGAGAGTATTTATATAAAGCTCAGTCACATCTTTGAGGAAAAATTAGGATTCAACACCAGAGAAGTCACAAGTGATATCAAGCAATGCAGTCCTGGGCAAATATGTCCCATTTAAGTGAAAAAAACCAAAAATAACTGTGTATGAGGAAAATTCCATCCAACCCACACTACAGTGTAAATGTGACACACCTCTAAAAACAAAGATCCTAGTACTCATACCGCTTCCTGTAAGCAAGTAAAAGTTAAAAAACTAAATCAGTTTCTTCATGATGACTTCGTCAACACCGAGCTATCAGCTGCTCTACTGAAGGCTGTACTTTTGCCCTTTAGACTCACTCGTCTTCCTTTTCTTCTAGTTTGTTTCACTCTGAGAACCTTTTAAGGCACGCCTCCTACCTGTCTTGGCAAATGTGACCTCCAGCTCCCAGCCCACTTGCACCACTGCATGTTGGGATATTGGATTTTCAGTGGAAGGTCTATAAAGAGGTTCCAGTACCTGGGAGAGTTAGATATAAACTTTTGTTATCTCCTGTTTTTTCTCTTAAACCCTCCCACAAAGCCATCAGAAAAACTGAAAAAAGGATAGGTGACTCATAACAGTGCTCATGCCCTTTGAGCTTTTTTTTTATAAATATTTTGCACTTTATGTAAACTGTTATTTGGGAATTTAATTAAATACTCCATTATCCCTAAATTAGGTACAAACCAAATGCCTCCAGAAGTCCCCTAAGGACCAAATAAAGTCTACTTGTGTGTAGTTTAATCTCAATATGAATATTTATGTAAAGTCGTTGGAGGTTTTTAGAGATCATTACTGAGCAATAGGGGTGCACCAATTGATCGGCCTCAATTTCCTTGATAATGGAAGATCAGCGATAGGCTGATACCTGGATGTGCAACTGATCTTATTCACTGATCTACCTTTGCAAAGGTCTAAAAATCACCCAGTGTCAATTAGAGGTGAGTATTGGCATGAGTGTTGTGATTCGATACATGTCGCGATACTTGGGTCACGATACGATATTATCACGATATTGCAGTATCACTATATATTGCCATATTTTTCCCAGCTATCAAAAACAAATGATGAGATAAAACATCAAGTGCTGTATATTTTCATCAGAAAATATTGATTAGGTATTATTATCCATGTTGTTTGGGGTTTTCTTCCACTGTGACTTCCTCAAATACAGATTTGGTGCTGCATGCACGGTTAAAGGGCTCCACAGCGCTTTCTGCCAGAGTGGTGGTGCAGAGGTAGCCCATTTTCCCATCAATGTTTTATGTAACCATTTTTTTTTTTGAAAATCGATACTAAGAAGTGAAAGATCGATATTATATTGGGCAGCCGAATATCACGATATATCGCCAAAACGATTATTTCCCACATCCCTAGTGTCAATGCTTTATATTTGAGAGGAGATAATCGAGAAGTTTTCACAGGTATTGATTTGTCTTTCGGTAAGATAAGACTGAAATATTGAAGGTGTCTTTTTACTGTATATTATAACAGCTGACAGTGTCTGTTATAAAATAAAAAAATTTGTATCAGTCAAAATTATAATCAGCGACAGGTTTTTTAAAGATTTAAAATCAGTGATCGGCCATAAATTTGCAATTGATGCACTCCTACTGAGCCATAAACAGAGATCTGACAGAGCACCATTTAATCCACCATCCCTAAATGAACAGTTTCGACAAAACTGTTTTAAAGATGCAGTAACAGGTCCCATATCTCGAGGAGCTGTCCAGACCTTAAGCTCAGGTGGAAGAACCTGATGTCAGGTTCAAGTGGTCATGTGTGCCAGAAGTGATGTAGGGAATGCAGCAAAAGTGGAGTAATGTGCATGGACTAGATGAGAGAGAAAAAAAAATGAACAGCTTAATTGCTATTTTCTCTATGAAACAATGTGGAGGGAGCAGGGGGTGAGATATGACGGATGGAATTGTATGGAATTAAATGATCAACTGTTTCTTGCCCAGACAGCCCTACCAATAGAGCTAGTTTTCTATTGGTTTTTTTTTAAAAACAGAAATAATTTATAGATCAGTTCTTCCGTTAGTTTTGGATGTCTGCTTCTGCTTCACATTGAACCTGGTTCTGCTAGAGGTTTCTTCCTGTTAAGTTTTTTCTCTCCACTGTCACTGTATGCATGCTCAGTGTGAGAAAGTGCTGAAGACTCAATGGCTGTGTCCGAACGTCCGCCCTAACCCCTCAGTGACTATATCGAGCAGAAACTTTATGGTAAACTCAGTAAATGATCACTTATTCTTCACCCTGTTTGGTCACGTGGCTCCGCCTCCCAGCATGTTTGCCTGCGCCATCTTTATTTGTCGCTGCTGTCACTTCCCGCCAGTGGATTGCTGTCACAACAAATCCTACAATGCTTTGCGAGGAGAGCTCTAGCAAAGCCTTCAGCTATATATTTGCTCATCTACCGTCCATGGATGATCTTGATGACTTATTTTCAAGGTGCATTTTGGGAAATTTCAAGTTCACAACTTTTTCATCCACTAGACGTTCGGACACTCATTTAAAAGTGCCCTAGAGTGAATAGGGCGAACATTCGGACACAGCCAATGAGTCCATGAGATGATCTGCTTTTCTTTAGATAGAAAACTTTGAATTGATCTGACTGAATGATCTGATTTAACCATCTCTGTAAAGTGCCCTAAGGTGAGATATCTAGTCGATTGGCTATATAAACAAACCAAGTTGAATTAAAACTTTATACTGGGTAAACCAGATGTTTCTAGTTTAAATCATATTCCACTGACCAGTCAAAGCACAGACCTTAGTCCAAGGGAGCATGTATGGCAAGACTTAGAAAACATAACGCTCAGAGAGCCTGTCTCTTCAGTGCGATTGAACCTTAAAAGTTATTTTCCCTCCACTTGCAAAAACTAATTTGTGTTGATCCATCACATGAACCCTAAAATAAAATACAATGGAGAGCTGTAAATACATATGAATACTTTTTCTAAAAAGGCTCTTACACATAAGTGAGAGATTTTGCTTTAAACTCATGAAAATCAACTATGTGCAAATAGTTCAAACTAATCCTGCAATGTGGCAGTGTTCTAAAGCCCAAAGCCTCTCTTTAGTTTTCAGAAATGCCCTACATTAAGGACCCCCCATCTGACTGCTGTCAAATAACACATTCCACACCAGCTGACAGAAGAGAGACCAGCACACAACAACCAAAATACACAATAGCATTTAACCATGATAAATAATAAAAAAGGTGTACCGGTAATTGAAATAATTTTTACCTCAGGCTTCACACACTGGCACAGTGAGATGCTAACCCAGAATGAACATTCTGCTCTGAATCAATTAGCCACTCTGTCTCTCTCCCTCTCTGTCCACCCCCACACTCCGTTTCTGTCGTCATCTCAGCCCACAGAACAAGGCACAGCTGGACCCAGAACAATGTGTGAGTGTGAGGACCACTTGAGTCAAACCTGGGTCTATCTTTGGCGGTGACAAGCAGATACCATCTTTTCTGATGTGTGGTCAGAGGATCATTTAAAGGCAGAGGGAAATGTGGTTTTGTTAGCCACTTTTAGATGCAAAAAAAAAACTCAAGAGTCAGCAGCTGATCAGGCTTTTTTTTCTTCAAACAGAATGAAACGATTCATTTACATTGTATTTTTAAAAACTCCTGTAACATGTGCAAATGTCCAGTAATTTGAAATCAAACTATCAAAAAACAAAAATACATTTCTAAAAACTCTATGAACTTAATCATATAAAAATCATTAAAAAAATCATTCAGATTTTCTTTAAGCGAAGGCAATATAAAATAGTAAACACAGCAACAAATCCTGAGCCCTTTTAACAGAGAAGTCCTTTCATGACTCAGCAGAGATTCATTCATAGGGCTTTGCTGGTTTACATGAGTCATGGAGCTGTGTCTAAGCTCTCTGCATCACCTTGTTTGTGTCATCGTCTGTATAGATAATGTGGTGTTCCTGCAGTGTTTCTTTGTCTTAAAACAGTGCATGGAGTTTTTTTCTGCTTCTGAGGTTTCTTGCTCGATGTATTTTTTGGGGATGTTTCAGGAGGAGGCACATGAATTGGTTTCCAGGGGATGGGATTGTAGAAGCTGGGTGCTGGGTAAGAACTGTCATAGGGACCTGAGAACAAAACAATAATTTGCAAACATGAAACCAGTATATCTCACAGTTAATATTCATTTCATTGCACATTAAGATCAACAGTTTGCAGTTTATAATTCAGATGGTTTTAGAAAAACATACTTGTCGGGTAGGAATGTGTTTTGGGACTAGCTTTGAGTTTTTCGTTGGCTTTTGTCAGCCAATCCTTAAACTTCTCCTCTGCCTTCCTACGCCGCTCTCTTTCCTGCTCCTCCTTCAGGGCAGCTTCCATCTGTCAGAAAAAAAAAAATATATATATATATATATATATATATATATATATATATATATATATATATATATATATATATATATATATATATTTATTTTTTTTCATATTTCTTGCCCCAACCCTTTTTGAAAATAGAAACAGAAAATAAATATGACCTTCTCCTTCTTTTCCTTTTCCATTTTTTCTTGGTTCTTCTTTTGCAGCCAGTCTTTATATTTTTGTTGGGCTTTCAGTTCGATCTCCTTTTGTTTCTCCTGCTGCCTCTGCATCTCCTCTTCCTCTCTCCTTTGTTTAACAAGTTCCTTGCTCCTTTCCTTATAACATATTTTTAAAGAAATACTTTAGGTTTCTTGAAAACTGTATTCTCATATTTTAATATTTTTCTAGATGGGTAATTGTCGATTTGTAAAAAACACAAAAAGATTAGAGGTTTACACAAAGTTGATTAATGTAATTCTGGAAGAATTAATATTTCATATTAATACTCCCAAAGTCTTTTCCATACATATCTAGACATAAAACAATAATTCATATACATTTCATGCTAATGCTTAATCTAATCAAATCCCAATTTGTTCAAGACTGTTAATATTTACAAAATTATTTCATATGTTTATCAGTAAAGCCAGTTATTACTTACTTGCTCTCTTTTAACTTTTAACCATTTGTGGATCTTTTCTTCCATGACCAGCTTCTTCTGTTCTCGTTCCCTTTCCTGTAGTTCTTCCTTTTCTCTGAGTAGCCGTTCCTGCGTTATGTGACATTAGGATCTCAACTCAGTATTTCAGCAGTGGCACTTTGATATAGACTGCTAAACAGAAGACTTGAGAAAATGGTTGTTACTTCTTTTTCTCATTGTTGGCAAACTAGTTAAAGTGCATTACCACCAACTGATAAGGAGTTAAACAAGGAAATAGGAAACAAGACTAGCTTCCAGAAAAAAATAAAAATAATAATAAAAAAAATATATATGTAGTTTTCTGAACTGTATGTTTTAACCCAACATATTGAAATACATATTTAAATTCGTCCTCGTAATTTCTAATCTGTTTTATTTGTCACTCTGCCCATTTCAGATGGTCGTACTCATTTTCCCATCATACTTTCAACCATTTCCCAGTTTAAATCTCTCACTTCAAGGTACTTTTCTGCAGCTTTCACTATTCTGATTTTTTCGGTTTTCTTTGTCGCCTGAGCAGTACATTTGATCACTTATACCATTAAAAGTACAAAATCCTTCTTTTTAACAATCAGATAGTCTTTTGCAATGTTGGGGCATTCCTCCAGTAGTTTGACTAATTAAAACAGTTCCTCTGTCCGGGTAGACAGCTATAATCTTCGTTTGTATGTGGCAAAGATTTGGGAATGAAATGAGAGCGGAGGCCATCAGCTAAGAACAAAGTGGAATATTTTGGTAAGGCTGAAGCAATGGATGTCTATTAATCGCAAAAACGTATGATGTAGCGATGTGGTGATGTGGCATACTGAAGTATAAAATGCTTCTTTACCTGTTTGTCAGGGCCACTTCCTGAGAAGTGAGCCTGGGGGTAAGTATTTATTTTTAGAGGCTCCAATGACTCCCCTGCCAATTCATTTGTTCTCCACCAAGCTGCACTGAACTCTTTTCCCCTCATTCTTGTCGATCCGTATAGCTTTGCCTTGTTGAGCACTGTCTCTGCAGTTTATTAACAAGTCTCCACTATAGAGTATTTTGGCACTTCGGACTTCCCCTACAAGTTTTTTTTTTTTTTTTTTATCAATTTTGTTAACTGCACCAGATTCCAATCTGCAAAAGAGTCTTTCTGATGAACTAGTTTCAATCTGACTGTAATAATTTAGTTTTCCTGTGGAATTTCCAGATTACTCATCACTTGATCGATCTGAACTAGACTCCCCTTCAATTGATCTTTGCTTTTTCTTATGTTTAGATTCTACTCTCTTCCACTCTTCTTCGTTTTCACTATTTCCTTCTTCCATCCCAAAAGAATCGCTTCCCGTTTCCTCGCTACTCACAACCCAGGACATTTCTCCACAAGCAACTTAGAAACACGAGTCCCGTCATTTCTCATGGTTGTTACTTATAAGAAAAGAATGAACATAAACAGAAAAACCCTCCTGCCTCTTCAGCTTTCTTCTCCTGTCTAAGACGATCCTCCTTAGCTTTGCTCAGCAGCCACGTCTCCCATGCGCTGAGTGAAGGTGAGCCTTCAGGCCACACAGGTTCCCTGAGCTTCAGCTTTGAAGGCGTTCTGGGCAGCTCACATCTATAAATGTTACAAAAAGGTGACACTTGATCTAAAATAAACAAAAACACCAAATGTGTGTTTGAGAGGAAGCAGCACCTGTCTGGTGATGCACACAGCCTCGAATCCTCGCTGTGTCTGGGTGAAGTCTGTTGAGATGGGATAGATCCCAGCTCTTCTTCATCGCTGTCGAAGCTGTCATGATAGATGGGAGAAAGCAGCGAGAATGTGTCCTCATCGTCAGACACGACGCCATTATCCAAACCTTTGGCTGGGAGGTAGCTTTTATCTTGGCTACTCTTGACGGGAGTCGAGCTGAAGCCCTCCGAGGCAGGAAACTTCGGCATCCTTCCTTCCGCCATCACCAGCCTTTTGGGGGTTAATTACCCCCAAAAAAGAAATAATAATAATACGTTTAACACTTTCATAATCAACACTTGGTGGGTTAATCACTAATAACGTCAAAAGAAACATAACAATTATATCTTAACATTCTATGCTTTTGTTTACATGAGATCAGCTAGCAATTAGCAACACTAAGCTAGCCAGCTAACTTTAGCGTTAGCATAAGTTATTTCTAACGGGCAAAATAGTTAAATCGTTGAGTATTGTATCTGCATATGACAACACAACCAAACAAATATGAAAACAAACTTACCGTTGCGATAGAGGTAGGAATGTTTCTTGTTTGCAGCTCTCTTTCTCCAGCTGAGGTGAAACAGTTTTGGCTACAGCTACTTTCTCCCATGATGCACCGCGCCCCCAAGCTCTCAAGGACGCTCTCAGTTGCCATAGTGACGATGATGCTTTACACTTGTCGCACACAACTGAAACCTGTAAAATAACGAAACTATTTATAAAAGCGCGCTTTTATTCTTTACTATCTTACTGAATTTTGGGACATAATAACCTAATTTAATAGTTCTAAATCAACTAAAACATCAAATATACGTCCTGTTTCATGTTTTTTGCTAAATGTACTCTTGCTGCAGTTTGCATCAGTCTTTTGAACTTACAATCTGGTTCAATATTTTTTTGCAACTCATTTCAGGAAATAAAACTCATGTTACCTTAGACTCACTAATCAGACTATTAATGCTTTGGGTCATTCTTTTTTTTTTTTTTGCAGGTTGACAATTATGACTTACAGGTAATTAAAATACAGAATCCGGTATCTTAGAGGACAATATTGTGAACAAAATTAAACAAAACTCAAAAATCACCTGCTCTTTATTATCTCTAAGCCACAATTACCAAAATTAAAAGCCATAAATGATTAAAATATTCTACATTATGTGTAATTATTTATGCACATACAGTTAATGAATGTCACAATTGGAGAGGTGTGAAAACAAATGCTGAACTTTTAAGGTTTGATGTAGCTGAGAATCTGGAAACCATATCCAGAAAAATTGATTTTATACCCACAATTTGCAATAAATTAGGATACAATAAATTGCTTTGAAATTTTTTGTACGTGTAATTTTAAAGGTAATTTTGAGTATAAATTATATGCATTAGATCTTATGCATCAGAGTTTTTTTTTTTTTTTTTGCAGTAATTTTTTTAATTACTTGAGTAAATATTTCACATAATTGTCATTAAATTTGATCAAATATAAGAAGATCAGAAGATCAAACATAAGCTGGAACTCCTTGTTTTACTACCAAGTAGGACATTTCATTGTAACCCAAAATAATTTTCACAATTTGAAACATACAATATTTAACATAAATATGATACTTTTCATTTTAATCTTTGTTATCCTTTCTATTTTTTTAATAGTTTTATTTCTCCCTGTATTTGTGTTTATTTACAGAAAGACTTATGGTGAACATTTCGAGCTGACTCTTTAAATGCGTAGTTCTCAGGGTTTTACTTCCAAAGTAATATTAATAGGGAGATTTTGCGCAATAAACTATCATATTTAAGTTTTTAACTATATTTTTTAAGTATTTTGGCATTCAATAATGTTAACTTTTATTTTCCCCAAAGACTCTCAGCCTAATCTAACTTTACATTAAACTTTTCAAAAATACCATGGTTAAATTATTTCTTTTTTGATGATTTATTACTGTGATTGGTTTAAAGCTACAGTAGAATTTTTCAAAAATAACAGTTTTAAGTCTGGTCATTTGTTTTCAGACTCATCAGTTTACTGGAATAAAATGCTTTTCCTCATAGATTTAGATATAGTTGTAGTTAAGCTGCCTTCAATATCACTCCAGTCTAACAATATGAGTCTAATTACCAGCAGTTGACTCTAAATTAGCTCGCTCTTTGAGGGCCAATTTTAACAGGTAGATGTGACATTCTGAGTGGGTTTGCAACAATACACAGCACAGGTTCATTTACTGTTGCAGTTCTTTGCTCAAGCTTAATTTCTTTTTTTAAGCATTCCAACAGATATTAAAACAATAACCGAAAGTGGTCCAGGATCTTTGAAAAGTTAAAATTCAGCATTAGCTATAAGCAATGTGTCGGTAGATGACAATAAACAAGAGAGATTAGCTTTTTGGTTCAATGTGGATAAAGTTTTCTTTGGATAAAGCAATTAAACATGATTTTTTGTTTTTTCTTTTTTTCTCATAATTGTTAGGTGTAACATTCAAGTTACAAAGTTTTGACTTTATTAAAGTAATTGAAATTAAACAATTAAATTTAAATTAAACAAACATGATGTGTGAAATCTAATTAAACATGTTTGCCACATCATGGACAACTGATGGGACATAGGTTATTGTAAAATTTTTATTTAAAAAAAGAGGGGGATATTGTTTTGTTTGTGAGCCTAGAAAAATCTAGAAGATGTTCTCTAAATGGCTTCCCATCCATCACTCCTTGACATGATCTTGCACTGTGTGTCAGATTCCCATAAGGTAAGCACAGTTCTGAGTAAGATGATAACAGGAACAGCAGTGACCAACAGAGACTGAATGTTTCTCATTTATCTATATTTCAGCTCAGGAGTCACACCAGGATGCAGGATTCCAGCTTTGCTCTCTGATGGCTTTGCTTCATAAGAACATGAGTTCTCATTAACCTCCAGTCTTTCGCCAACTGAGCTGCAGGGGATTCACCTCCCAGTTCCAGTGGAATGGTTGCAACAGAGCTGAAAAGAGTAGCGGCCGGTGGAGGAAGAGAGCAGCGTTTCTTCCGGACACGAAGAACACAGAAGAAGTCTCACAAGAAGCTTCAAGTTGTCATCTGTGTGCTGCTGGTGGAGCTGTGTGAAAGGTTTACATTCTTTGGGATTGTGTGTAACATGATTCTGTTCTGCACCGTGAAGCTTGGCTATGACAACAACCTGGCTGCAACCATCAACCTGTGTTTCATAGGAGCCAGCACCCTGACCCCTGTTTTTGTTGGCTGGGTTGCAGAAACCTGCTTAGGAAGGACTAAGGTTCTTTACTTGTGTTCTTTTCTTCACTTCTTTGGTAAGCTATAGTGGAAAAGCAAGTACTTTTTATCAGTAGATAGGTATTATGATAAAAAAAAAAAAAAAAGGAATTTTTTATTTATTTTAATGTCTTAAATCCTAATTTCTGTAAACATTTTAAAACCACTTTATTTGATTTGTTCAGATATACAAAAGTATGTATGCATTTGAATTCAATTTCTCAATGTTCCCAAATTAAAACACTCTCAATAACTTTATTTTTAAGTTAAAATAAAGCAGATAGTAAATCTTTTAAAATGTGCTCTCTGTTAATAGCTCACCTGGTTTTCTGAAAGTCTGTCTTCAATTTGTTCAAAAAGAACTTTAGCCTTTCTTTCCACCCTTTTTTGGTCAAGTTCTCACTACCTGATTACAGCTCCATATTACACTTTAAGTTATTGCTAATCTTTTGTTTGTTGTTGACTTGACATCTTGTCCAGACTTTTTTTCCAGACTTAGGAATGTGGGCACGTTTAGGTGAGTAGCTTTAAAAAAAATATTTCAGGTTTATTAAAATGAAGGAATTTCAGCAAGTCGTTCACCAAGTGAATACCCTTATACGATTATATTTTATTCCTGTTTTTGCTTCTACTATTTTGTTTCTATAAATCAAAATAAGAAATTAGTTAATTTACAGACGGTAAAAATCGAATTGTTTTTAACTCTGACAGTAACAAATACAAAGTTGAAGTATGGATTAACACAACACTGATTCATCCCTCGGGATTTAAGCCTTCAAGTGAAAAATGTATTTATTTATTTTTACTTGATTTATAACTAATAATTCCTTCTGTAGTGGTTGGTTACAAGAAAAGCTGTAGATACCTAAAGAATAAACCTTTAAAAGCTATTTAAAAGGTCCAAATGGCTATTAATGAATACCACTAAATGATGGTCAAAAAGTCTCTCTCTTTGACAGCAAACCATAAGTAAACAATGAAGAGATGCGACCCAGAGATTTTGAGCAGAGCTAAAGTTGTGGTGTTCCTGATAGGCACAGCCATGCTGCCAGTGGTTGCCTTTCCATTTGAGGATTTCTACATTGATACTCATCACATGACCCACAAGCTGGACCCCATGGAGCAGCAGATCTTTTTTTACATGGGCCTCCTGGCCGTCGCACTGGGCATCGGTGGCATCAGGGCCATCCTCTGTCCGATGGGGGCCTACAGCCTGCAGAGCTACAACCAGCACCAGCTCCTGTCGTTCTTCAACTGGTGGGTAAAGCTACTTTCTGAACCTCAAAGCAGAAAGCACCACCTTTAAATTGACACATCATTCAAAATGTCTTACAGGGAAAACTAGACTAATTATTTGTGTACAACTTGTTGGAAGTACATGAAATTAATTGCTTTATTTTCATTGTGTTTAGGTTCTACTGGTTGGTGAATCTCAGTTCCACTGTTGTGTTCTTAGGCATCGCTTACATCCAGCAGTCTGTGGCCCAAAACCTGGGCTTCCTCATCCCTTTCACCTCTGTTCTGCTAGCACTCATCGCCATCCACATGATGCGCAATAAACTCACCTACAAACCCAAGAGAGGTACAACTGCAGCCAAATGTAATGGCATTCCTAGCGAAAACATCAAGAAACTAAAATACATTAATCTTTTAATAAATTAGTATAATCTCACTGAAAATTCTGAAGAAATCCTTCAGAACATTTATGTTAACAAACACTGACACAGTGACATAACTGTCGTTACCCCTACAAACCCCTTCAAAATTAAATTACCATTAACAATAATTTACATTACTGTGACCCTTTATCAGATTATTTAGCATTTTCTTTATTTTCTAATTAGTAATACCAAGTTCAGTTCTTTGGTGCATAAATTTAGATTAAATCGAACAGACTAAACTTTTATTGTTGACCAAGAAGAAGCTGATAAATGATAAAAAAAAAAAAACAATAAAAACATGAGAACATAAATACAGATAAAAAGGGTCAAGTTAAATAAAGAGCTAGAGCAGTTCATGTTGTATGTATGGATGCTTTACTTTGTTGAATTCAAAAGAATGTTTGGGATGAAGGATCCTTTTAGAGAACCTCTAGTCAGAGCAACCCAGCAGTTCCAACGAGACTTCAGAGCCTCAAACTGGCAAGACAAAGGATAAGAGATATCTGCTAAAATTCTATGAGTTTTCCTCTCTCCTCATTATAAATGTGGGTCGGGTTCTTCTGGAGTTTCCCTAAAATGTTACCAGCCATTTTCACAACTTTGTTTAACTTTGGCTGTGTCCGAGCATCCGCCCTAACCCCTAGATCCCTAAATCACTATATAGAGCGGGGACTATGTAAAAGTGGATTTTATATATATTTATACGGTATATATATATATATATATCTGCTCATCTAGTGACCATGGATGATCACTACTTTTCAAGGTGCATTTTTAAGGTGCATTGTGAGTCCATTACTTTTTTCTCCACTAGATGTTCAGAAACTCATTCAAAATGGCGTAACCACTATGCAGTGCCCTATATAGTGATTAGGGTGGATTTTGGACACAGACTTTGTCTTGTATTTGCAACTCAGGTGACCAAACCACGTATAGAGGTGAAATGTTAAAACCCTCTCAGTATGAGCAGAATACACAAACTTTAAAGTCTTTGGACTGACACCAAGACAGCTTAATCTTCTAACACGACTGAGTCACTGTGAACATTTCTCTGAATTTGCAGAGAAACTCAAGTGACTTTCATGGACTGCACCCAGATATTTCAAAGTCTCCCCCAGTTTTAACGTGCTGCCCATCAATTTGAACCAGGCCTATTGCGGGTTTTGGCTTTGTGTAAACAAGAGGCTCCTTTGTTTCAGACACATTCATTTCTAGTTGGCTATGAAGAAACCACTTTTTGAAAGCTTTGGTATGGGCAAAGAGGAGGCCTCACTAGGGGCCAGGTTACAAAGACTCACTTCTATCAGCCACTGACTAATTGGCTAGAAAGGGACCTTCTAGTGTCTTGCAACCACAAACTAATATCCTAAGCTCATTTTTGGAAATCTTTATCAAAGAGTGTTATTTTGGTCATACCAAGTCTCTATAACAAGTGCTAAATTCCATCTAGATGTCAATCACTTTGTTGGGAGTGATACTAGGAAAAGCATTTTTTGCACTTTGCTCAGCTGAGGCTAATACTGAACTTTTCAGCTACAAAACTAAGCTTCATTGTTATTTTGATATAAAGGTTGAATATGTGGAAAGTACCCATCCACAATGTGATGCTGCTGGCCTGATCCTCCTTTAAAGCCGTGTTAGAGGGCAGGACATTATGAAAGATATGAAAAAACACTGATGGGGTGTACCTGTAAAATTAAGTTAGGTCTTTCACCTTAAATATTTGGTAATGGAACATTTCACATAAACTCTAATCATCTTATCCTGACTGTTCTTCTCAGTGCTCAGATCTAAACCTTAAAAGAATTGAGGTTGACTACAGAAGGGCCCAGAGCCCTAGAGAATCAAGAGAGACTGTGCAAAGTGGGATTATCAATGATCTCTTTCTCTGTCTGTTCCAACACAGAAAACTTGGTGCACTCTCATCTTACCAAATCAATTAAATGTTGAACTTTTCAAAAAAGACTTTTGAGATATAACAGGGTCAAAGAATGTGAAGTATGTAATATCAACAAGGTCTAAAAGAGCATATGTAGGAACAAATGACACATAAAAAGGTTTATGTGTGCTGGTCTTACCTCCCGTTGGGTCTGCTTTCAGGTGGATCCTTACTGACCACACTCGGAGTTTTCCTGAACTCTTTCAAATTGTGCTGCCTCCGTCATCACCACCTGAGTGGACATGTGGTGTCCTGGCTGGACCGGGCCAAGGAGAACAATGGCGGGCGTTACAGCGAGACCCATGTAGAAAACGTCAAGGTCTTGGTGAAACTCTTCCCTCTCTATGGGCTTCAGCTGCTGTATAGAGTCTGCATCACACAGGCATGACGAACAGATTGAGAACTTTTAATACTGTTTTTGTAAAACCAAAGAGGTTGAGCAGGTGTTTTTCCACAGATTCCCTCAGGTTACTACATACAGACAATGAACTCCAACCTCCACCTCAATGACCTTCTGTTGCCCATTGGTGCCATGAATGTCATCAGCATCCTACCTCTGCTGCTCTTAGCCCCAGTGATGGAGTTTGTGGCCACCTACTTCCTCTCCCTGGAGAGAACTCCGCCTGCACCTGCACGAGTCATAAGTAAGTCTCACTCCCTCACACTCTGAGTAATCTGTAACAAATGATCTTACATCTTTCTTCTCGCTCATCTTGCAACCACATCCCTCATCTGCAGCCCCCTTATCCCATTGTACCACCCTCTCCGCCCTCCTCTTCCAGCTTTGGGCCATGCATGTGCTGCTATGTCTGTCCTGGTGGCAGGTTTGGTGGAGATTCACAGGAAGGCCTACCCACTGGTGGAGCAGACCCTGTCCGGAAAGGTCCTGCATGTGTCATCCATGCCTTGTTTCCAGCTGGCACCTCAGTACATCCTTCTCGGTGTAGCTGAGGCCCTTGTCACTCCTGCATGTGAGCAAAAAGTCTTCAAGTTCAATTAAGGACTTGAGATCTATCAGATGAAGCAGAAATGTGACAGTCTCTTGTTCTTTGACAGGTTGCCTTATATCCTTCCAGCTGATTCCGAGCCACATCAGGGGGATCTCGTTGCACTTTCTCACTTTATCCTATGGAGGGGGCTGTTTACTCGGTGCTTTCATCATTCAGCTGGTGTATTTTTGCTCTGGAGGTACAAATAAAAGTCCATCTTCATAATTTAACTAAAAATTATGTATTTCAATTTAGAAAGTAGAGCTTATTAAATGATCATTACATACTGTGTGATTTATTTGAGTTAATCTAATTGATTATGACTTACAACTAATTAGATCTGAAAACTTGACAGCAGACTGTCAAACAAATCTAAAGAGAGTTAATGTTCACAGACTGCTGTATACAAGCAGATTAATTAAAAAAGGTATGAGAAAGGAAAAAGTGTTGCTATGTTTTCTGAAACTGAAAGCAGATTTAAGAGACGATGAATCCAAATTGCTTTGGATCTCGGTCGCTATGACACATTGAGCACGGTATCACTTGCCTGACCTTATCCCATTGTGAACTTATGGTGTATTGTAAGAAGAAAATCAGTGACACCACAAACAGTAATGCAGATAAGCTAAAAGGCTTCGTAAACACCTCAGCAAAGCCAGAGGATAATTACCTCTATGCCACACTGCATTAATGTAGTACTCCAAGGGGGTTTTTGATCTTTGTTATAAGAATCAGTTATTTGTAAAACACGTAATCAAAGAAAAAGGAGGCAATATAATCATTGAAAGAGAATTTAGTTTATATGAATTTTATTTTTTTAAGTTTAATTGAAGAAAAATAAGCTCTTTTAATCATGTTTTTTCTCTGACACCAATTCATGAGACAAAAATGTTTCAATAACAATGCAGGAAACTTCTACCCTAACTCTCTGCATGAAGGAAACCTGGAGAAATTCTTCTTCCTTCTGGCTTCATTGATGACGATAAATACTTTCCTGTTCTGGAGAATATCATATAGGTACAGTATTATCTCTAGAATATATAATGCAATAACGTTGTAGTTATGTCATCCTGTGTGAAGGAAAATCATAGTATGAGATGTTCTAAAAGTGTTTCCTTATGTTGCTGTTTAGGTACATGGATCTGAGTGTTCAGGGTAAACCCATGAGCAGCAGCTCTCTGTCTGAGAAGCTGCTGCATTATAAGGCCACACTGCGCTTCTATGATACCATTGAACATTTCTCCACCGATTCTGTTCTATGAACGCTTTTGCCGAAACCCTATTAGTGGCGCTGGCGCTGCACTTTTGTGCCTCAGTAATGCATAAAATGTTATGTTGTGGAACACAAACTATACAAGTCCTCATGTCTGTAAATATTTATGATTTTTTTTTACTGAAATTAACCATTTTAATTAAATGGTTGTGATGAAAGACTGTTTGAGTTGAATTTTACAATCAATGTGAAAAGGTAAACTAATATAGACATATTACAATAGAATACGAAATGTGTGATAATACAAAGATATGCTTTATTCAAGTTTAAAAATGTGAATCAACAAACATTGTTCAGACATCAGAATAAATCTTAAAATATTTCTAAGTAGGCGTGTACAGGAATAAGAAACAATCATTTCAATGCAATAATAAGCTGACTGCAAAAACTTCAATATCTAAAGCTAAAAGGAAGCATGAAGTCTGTAATTATTACATCTAAAGTCAGTAAAGCATTTCCACTCTCGTGATTTAACAAAGATTTTAACACCAAAGTGTGTGCTGTCTGTGCATATATATATATCAATAAAACAAAGTAAAAAAAATACTTCACTGAGCATGTCTTGTCATTTTTGGCATATGAAAATATGTGCAATATTTTTGCATTGATTTTATTCCCATTGCTTTCTTAGTTCAAAATCCCATGATAAATAGCCATAGATTTTTTTCCTTTTTATTTCTCAATTGCAAAGAAGATGATATCTTTTTAATAATTAAAAGGGAGGAACTGTGGTGGGGAAAATTAATTTCCTTTTACATATATATATATAGATATATATAGATTTATGATTTCTGACTTTTATTCATTGGGCCTAAGAGCTCCAAGACCACAACATGGAGGGTATGGCCATAATGTGAAGCAGTTCTCAAAACATTTAGACTCTTTCTCCAATCTGTCTGTCTTTTTGCTTTGGGTAGAGAGGTGTGGAGACCCTCACAGCTTTTCTGCTGGGTTAATTGGGGAGAAAAATCTCTGTCCAGTCAGAACAGGCCTGAATACCATGGCCTGTTCTGACTGGACAGACTGAATGAAATCCATCAATCTCTGTTTATCTAACTGGAGGGAATAGTTGAATACCATTTTCCCAAGATAGTTCTCTGTAAAAAACAGAAAACAGTAAAAAAAAAAAATGTTTAGAGGGTGCATATTTTGAGAAATGCCCCTAAATCTACTGTAAATCCAGGGTATAGCGGTTCAGTAAAGGTTGTCTGGACTTGGTGCAACAGGCTGAGGCTACCAGAGGATGAAACGCTGTAGAAGCTCAGTTTTCCTTCAGCATACTGGAGGTGAACTCCGACTCTGCGAGACTGAGCTGGAGGAATAAGACTTTTGTGAAGATTGTTGTGCCAAAAAGTACAACTGGAAGGATAGCAGATAATTTTCCAAGACAGCTTGTTGTGGCCAAAGCAGCAGCCGTTGTCATTTCCTTTCCTTTGGATGCCTTTATATGACACAGCAACCTCGATGACGCCACCGTCCCACTCCACCTCCCAGTAGTGGTTTCCTTTAAGGCCTTTTTTGCACATCGATTGGTAAAACGTAGTGAATCTGTCTGGGTGATCAGGATGAGCTTGGCCTGTTATTCCCCACGATAGTTCTCTCTTGGTGTTTGTCATGTAGAGACATGCATGCACTGTGTTAGGATCCAGCTCAGGGGCAAGATCTGCAGAAGATAATAAATTAATTCATTCAGATATTGACATTCTACGCATGTTTGGAAGAATATTCATGTTGCGCTACTCACATTGACGCATGCACAACATGTCTTGTCTTGATCTTAAACCAATATAAGGCCTCCTGGGAACACTCATTACTGAAAAGAAAAACAAAAATTCTCCAATTTAATAGGTACAATGGGGGTCCTCTTCCTTTTACAAGTCAGGTAAGAACTGTTGAGAATAAAGTCAAACAGTCAATGAAACTAGCTGAAAACAGTTTCAATATAATCTTGTCAGTGGTCATAAATAATGACAGAAATCAGCTCAACAACGTGCCCTTTGGCGTCGTTTGCTCGCCTACATGCTTTTGAAAATGAGCTTTTTGTTGACAGTTTGACTTTATTGTCAACATTTCAACTTTACTGACTTGTTGAGGAAGAAGGGAGAAAATTCCTCCCCCTAATTTATTTTTTCCTTATTGTGGCCCAAATACTTTCTCATAAAAAATGTATGTAGATCTCATGAAAATTATAGCAATATACTGAGCTCACTTGTGTTATCTTTTAAATGTCCAAATAACTGGGCATTCTCCTTGTCACACATGCGTTTCATTTGGTCCTTTTTTGCAGAAACAAACTCTGCCAGAGACACTGGTCCTTTATTGGCACATGAAATCACAGGGAGGCCACCCAGGGCCTGAAAATCCTGCAGGAGACAAATAAATACATAATCTGGACATTCACATAAAAAAGAAAATTAAGATGAAAAAAGTGAATAAAACTAATAAATCACCTGAAGAAATTGAATGGGTTCATCTGTTTGTGCAAGTTGACGGAGATTATGGCCAATTCCCTTCAGTTTGTGGACTTCACGTTCCAGTTGTCCAATGTGATTTACAGTCCAATCCACTCCAGTTTTCTCTACCGCTTTAACTTCTTCTCTTACTTCGACACATTTCCTCTCCAGATAGTGGACATACAAACGAATATGTTCGGTGCACTGCTGCTCAAAGTTATCGCTCACCTCCCAAAAAGCATCCTTGTGGAAAACAAACCATTAAGAGCTATCATGAGCTGCATCACATGTTTCTCCTTCACATTTAGACAGTCAGTTACAGCAGTCTCCAACTACTCACGTTATACGTCAAACATTATTAAAAATCAATGAAATATTGAAAAAACTATATGTTTCCCATTTAAGTGAGGTTAGGTCCAATAATCTCGAATAAATGTTCCTGAATCAATAATATAAATAAAGGATGCATACATTCAAAGAGCTGTTTACATTAAAGTCTAAAAAGACCAGGAAGATCCATAGGATCTACAATTATTTGAAATAAGCGTATGTTTTATTTAAAAGATTGAACGTAGCTAGTACCGGTAATCCCAAACTTAACACGTGAATCAGATTTATCACACAGTAAATCTACTAATAGCTATTTACCATAGAAAAATGAGAAAAGAAAATGTTTCAAAAATATTTTTTGACATCTTGTAGATTTCTATGAAGCCAAATGGTATTAGCTTATTGCCTAATTCTGATTTTTAATCCAGACATTTAACCCACAAAGGTAGATATAGTTCAGACCTTTCCATCCCAAGTATGTGTTCTGCATTACAACACTTACTTGAATAGATTTAGCTGCTTGCTTCAGCTGTCCTATTTCATGCTGGCAAAAAAGAGTTCTAGTTGCTATCTCGTCTCTGGTCTTTTTCAGTTGCTCCTGTTAAAGCAGGAAGTCATCAACTTTTAAGAAACTGAGATTAAAAAACAGTTAAACATAAAAACCCAACTTTGGGTTTCTGTTTAACTAGATTACCTGCTTCCAGTTAACTTCTGTTGTGACTTCCACAATGTCATGATTCTTGTGCTGCACCACACAAAGTGGACACAACAGCTGCTCATCCGTGCGACAGTAAATTTCAAATCGTCTGTCATGACGAGAGCAGATGCTTTCTTTGATTCTTGCAGAGGCCTGGATCAATTTGTGCTTCATCAGAACAGGTACCTGGAGATGAGGCTGCAGATGTGTCTCACAGAAAGAGGCTAAACACATGAGGCAATACATTTGAGCTTTCCTTTTAATCTCAGAGCAAGAATCACATGGTACATCCCCAGGTGATAAAGCATCCCGTGGGTCAGCTGCAGCACTTTGTTTGCTCTTCTTCTTGTGCTCATCCAACAGGTTAGCCAAGACTGTGTTCCTCTGGAGAACAGGCTTTGGGCTAAAGGTTGTCCGGCACTGAGGGCAGCTGTATGTTCCTTCAGTGTTAGGTCCCGAATCCCAGAAAGTGTTTATACATTCCATGCAGTAGCTGTGTCCACAGGCTGTAGTCACAGGCTGATCCAGTAACTGTAGACAAATGGAGCAATCCAAGAGGTCAGCACTGTGAGCCATTTTCCCCCGCTCAAACTTATACTTTCACTTTCCTTCTTCTTCTTCTTCTTCTTGTGTTTTTTGGTGGTTGGCAAAAAAAATAAGTTGTGCATTACCACCAAAGACTGGTATGGAGTGTGGCAAGTGGTGGATTAATCTATATATTACCTAAAATATAATCAAATTCTATTAAACAATTTGGCCATTTTTCTTTTAATATTAGAAAAGATTGATTCTGTTTGCTTCCTAAATTTCTTTGCAATATATCTCTTATATTAAATGTTTCCAGATGAATTTCTAATAGCATATCTGGTCTACGGTCTGAATGATTGTGTTTTAAACTCGTCAATACAGAGCTTTAATCTGAGCAAATTATAATGCTTAGAATGTTTAATCTGAGCAAATTATAAGGTTTAATCTCTTCCACCCACTGAACTGCCAACAAATCTGTCAAAAGTTATCCTGTGTAAACAGATAAAACTATCAGGGATTTTTTTTTCAAATCTTTACTTTAAACTCTGGTACTAATACTGCTACTCCTATTTTTTCATTTGTTTGATGCATCTGTATATATCTGAATGAATTGATATTAACTGTTTGTATAATCTTGAATCAAATTAGACTCTAAAAACAAATTTCTTTCCTATTTCTTTTCCAATAAATTCAAAATCCATGATGGTGTAACAGCTAATGGTATTAATTGACTTATTTCTATATTTTGCATCTGAAATTCCCCTGTCTTCCTTCCAGTAGTCCATTCAAAACATTTCATATATATATTTTTTTTCCTTTTTCCAGTATGGTTTTAAAATGTCTTGTGTTGGATGATCCAGGTAATAGCTTAGTAGATTTAACGTTAGAGTAATAGGATGATTACTTTATGGTTTTGAACAATTTCAATTCAATTCAGTTCATTTTATTTATATAGCGCCCATTCACAACACATGTCATCTCAAGGCACTTTACAGTACAGCAGATCATAGATTCAAATTTATTCAAAGTTTTCTATCTAAGGAAAACCAGTTGATTGCATCGACTCATTGACTCGGATGCAATCCCTCACACTGTAGCGAGAGTGGTGAGAAAAAAAATCCCTTTTAACAGGAAGAAACCTCCAGCAGAACCAGACTCAGTGTGAGCGGCCAACAATCCTTCCCTGTTTTAGCTGTTGGTAGGATGACTGACTCGTTCCACCTCTGTGGCAGCTCCCCTTCCTCCAAGACTTTAGAGATCTAAAATAACATCTTTAGATGTTTCACTTAAATTATTTATCATGGTGTACCAGCTCTGATATTTACCAGGTGCTGTATTTTTTGTTTTCTTTAGCACAGAATATAATTCAGCTTTTGTAAACGGTTCTTTTATTAAATTATTTCTATCTTCATTCATTTGTAGCAAGTCTTTGTATTTCAGTTTGGTGGTTTCTCTCCCCTTTCTTTCCCTCATCACTAATGTTATTTGAACTATAAATTAAACTGAATGTTTTAGATAATATTTCAGCTTTTTCTTTATTTATCTTTTATTATACTTGTTTTATCTATAATTAATACTGGATATCTATATTCCTTTTTAACACTGTTCATTCTTTTAATCACATTCCACACTATACATTTTTGTATCTCTCCCTTTCATATTACAAAAATTTTATTTGTTTTGGGCAAATCTGTAATATCATTACCAGAATGGACTTGAAGTGTTATTTACCTATTGGCCAGCTGTTTCAGATTGGGACCTTTTTCATTACAATTAAAAGGAGATGGTCGCTGTTTCGTAGTGGTGCAAAAGGTTCATAATGTCAACGGTTTCTTATCAGCTTAAATGTTTAGCTTAGGTTTCCAAAAGTAATAAAGAATATATGTGATACACCATAAAGGGATTTGAATCATTACTTATTTATATAGTCAAGAAAAAAAAAAGAAAAAATGTTTAAGAGTATAAGTCACTACACAAATTATTAGTGTAATATATATGTGTCTTTTTTCTACTAAAATTGACTGAAATACCATGTTAAATAAAAAAAGACTGAAAAGAAACCAAAATGCCGAGTGTTTAACCAGGAAGTCTGAGGTGAGTAATCCAAAAATGCTTTTACCCTCTTCTTCAAGTCATTTTAAATCATTCAAATTGAATTAGATTAGCACAATTTTTTCTATAATCATGTGCCCAAAATGATGTTAATCTAAAAAGTAAATATCTAAGCGTGGCTTTCTTGGTTCTCAAGTGAACATGTTCCAAAGACCAGTTAAACATAAGCACTTGACTGTGGCTCCTAGATTTAATTTGCTGAACAAGAGTTGTCTGTTCTTATTAAGGTAAGACAAAGAATGAGAAACAACAATATTTTAAACATAAAATAAGGGTTGCACAAAATCAGAAGTTTATTAAAAGTGAACAAATATCAGAATCCTCAGTTAATTTTTACATCCATCCATCTTTGAATGCCCCCATTTAATAACTTGACAAAAATGTACATCATTTCAGTTTATTTCAGTCAATGGCTAAATATCATATGCTTATTTTTGCTGTATGTTTTCTGGGTTGAAAACAAATTGGACTTTATTTAAACAAGCTGCAGTTCCATTCTCCTTTTCATTTTTTCTTTTTTTTACTGCTGCTTTACTATCTTTATTGATGATCCCCTGGAAACCATAAAACCAGGGTACAGAGGCTGAGAGAAAGCGGTGTGAACTTCATGGAGGAGCATCAGTTCTCCAGAGCTAGAAACACTGTAAAAAGATAGGATGCCAGCTTTGTGGTTTAGATACACTCCAACTGTACCAAAGCAGCGGTTCTGGATTTTGATTTTGTTTTCGTTGTGCCAAAACATGCATCCAGAATTGGAGAGAGAAACACTCCAGGACTTGTCATTGAATCCAAAGCAGCTTTCATCCATGTTTGGTCCTTTATAGCACACAGCAATCTCGATTCTTGGCCCCTTCCACTCAACTTCCCAGTAGCAAACACCAGACAAACCTTCTGAGCACAACACTTGATCATATTTGGTAAACCTCTCCGGGTGGTACTGGTACTTCTGGGCTTTCTTGGTCCAAGTAACCTTGGTGTTTCCCTCAGAGACCAACAGGTTCTCAAAAGCTGTGTTGGGATCCAAACTCAAGCTACAGGAATCTTAAACGTAAAAAAAAAAAAATGTAAAGCATTTGCTATTCAATATAAATCAACTAAAACAATTTATGAATGTTAGGTAAACAACTTACACATCCACAATTCCTGTCTTGTCTTTGGCTCTGCAACAGTTTCAACTGAAAACAGGGAAAATGTACTGTTATCCTTTTCACAAACCCCTTAATATCACACAACCACACACCTACATATAGAAATCTTTTTGTGTGTTTTTTCTTTTCTTACAGGTCTCTGATATCTCCTTTAAAGTGGAAGCCAAAGAATCAGTTTTCTCTTTAAAGTTTGATATAGCCTTCGTAACAAAGTCAAAGGGTTTCTCTAGTTGAAGATTGAAGCTGAGGCTCGGCTCGGGTTCTGCACTGTCCAAAACAGACTTGCTTTGCTGAAAAACATAAAAGCAAAACACAATATCATAATAAGATTTACAAATGTGTCCCTATCCTTGGAATGTCGGACATTTTATTACACTACAATGCAAAAGCTTTTACATTTTGAGGCACCTCATTAGACAACAGACAGACAGGAAATGGGGTGGAGAGAGAACAAGAATGACATGCAGAATAGATCTCTAGGTCAGGATTCAAACCTGGAGTGACTATTGGTGCAACTGCCACACCCATACCCACAAATATTAAATCATTTTCTGTATGTAATTCTCCAGCACAAATAATCCCCACACTGTAAAAGAAAAGACGGAAATAGGACACTGCATTTTAAGATCTTTGCAAATAAAGATCTAAAACACATCATTTTCATATATGATTAGTCCTCTTTCCTCTTATAACAGAACATTACAATTCAATTTAATTTGATTTATAAATTCAAATTAGTTTAATTTTAATTGAATTGCTTATTTCAATTCATAAATCTAGTGCAAATTTAAAACACATCTAATCTCAAGACGCTTTACAGGGACAATTCAACCAGATCATCTAGTTAGATTGGTTAAAACTCTTCTAAGAAAAATCAGCCAATTGCATCAAGTCATTGACTTTGCAGGATACACTCCTCTTGGATGTGCATGTGGCAACAGTGGACATTCCTTTATATTGTGTTTCGATCACAGTTATCATGCAAGTGGTGACAGTTGAGAGGAAAAACTACTTTTTAACAGGAATAAAACTCCAACAGAAAAAGGCTCAGTTTGAGCGGACTTTACTAAGGCCGACTGATAGATACAAGAGGAACATAGAAGCACTGATCCATGAAGAATTTGTATGTCAGCAATGGTAGTGGTAAACTAGCTCCATGCAACTTATTTTCTTTAGAAGCAAGAGCAACTTCTGGAAAGGCTGAGCATGCAAGAGTTTGCACCAGGACTCTTTTAACACAAACCAAGAGTGTGAGGAACTGCTCCATATGCAGCCTCTAAATACAAATGCACATCAGATTTTACACTTCTATTTCATGACTCAAAATTTACATTTTCCTTCAACTTATTAATGGAACCCTTTGTCTCGGTATATCACATTAAAAACGTCCAGAAAAACACTGATGTTTTGTATGACCATGTGGAAAACATACTCTTGCAAAGCATTGTATCTTAACTGCAAATGCTGTGGATTCATCTGTTTACCTGCAGAAAATAAATGTTATCCCCGGTTGAAGACAGCTTCCTCAGTTCATCCTCTCTCCTCTTCAGACTTCCAATCTCCTTCTGAAGGCGATCAGTGAGTGTGTCCATTTGACCAGTGGCGGCCTTTTCCTGATGTATGATTAACTCCTTCACAGCCGAACGTCTTTTGTTTGCCATCGCGATAATTTCATTATAAATCTTCTCATTTTGATCAAGCGCTGCATCTCTGGAAACCTAAGGGCAGTAACCACAACAAAAAAAACCTTGATCTACTTTACTATTACTTTACTGGAAATATGCTTCATAAATGATTAATTTAGCCAACAGAAACAAAGAAAGTCACCTCAAATGCTTTTCTTCTCTCTTTCAGCTGTCGTAACTGCTTCTCCTTTTCTCCAGTTGCTTGCTGGTATCTTTGTTTCTTCTCTCCAAATAGCTTCTAAAAATACAAATATTGTTTACTCAATTAAACAATACAAATATATCGTTTTTACTCATAATCAGAATCTTTTGTAATTTTTGTTAATAATTTAAAAGGCAAATTACACCAATGAAACATAAGTGGTACTGTCTAATTGTCATACCAGTCCCTCAGGGTATTGCTATTTTTATGGGTAAAGTTGTGCAGCCTGTGTTGAAATTGTTTCCCTGGTGCTGTGATGATAATCGAGGTATCAGGGACGTAACCTTTTTGAGTGACAATCTCTGTTGCGGGTATGGCATTTCTATAGCAATCAAACTTTGAAGAAACTTTAGAGTGGCCAGTCTGGTTGGTTTAAGGCTTGGTTTTGGGTGTGTGTCTTTGACCTACAAATTTTATGCATTCAAACACACTTACAGGGATACATTTAGAAGTAAAAATAATGAGTTTCAATTGTACTTGTTATTTTTCCTATTTCCCTTCATAGTTATTTTTTCTATAATTGTATTTTATAAAATTTTCCCCTATAGAATTATTGGTCCCAGTTAGGGCTGAAACAAATAATCGGATTAATGGTAATTAATCAATTTGCAAAACAATCGTTAGTTGCAGCCCCTGTCCTAGAACAGGTTTTTTGCCCCAAGTCAATTAAGCAATGTTAGAGTTCATTCAATAGAATCAACTGTGCTATGTTTCCCTTTTTTTTTTTTTTTTTTTGCAGAACAAATCTGGATGATAGAATAACATAATTTTGGGAATAGTAACATGATAATAATGACAACAGTCCTACTTGTTTGTCTTTCCTTCCTGCCGCCGCTGAGACAGTGTCATGACCTTTGTGCTCATCCATGACACAAAGTAAGCAAATGCACTCATCATCAGTGCGACAGTACACTTCGAGCAGCTTGTCATGCTTAGAGCAGATCTTCTCCTGAATGGAGGTTGACACCTCCACCAGCTTGTGCCTTTGGAAAGCTGCAGACTGGTAGTGAGGCTGCACATGTGTGGCACAGTAAGAAGCCAGGCACACCAAGCAGGTCTTGACAGCTTTCAGTTTCTTCGCAGTGCAGAAATCACACTCCACTTCGCTTGGACCGGCTTTCTTTTCACCTAAAGGAGCGGCTCGCTCTGAGTCAGCCATTTTCTCAATCAAATCAACCAGCACTGTGTTCTTGTTTAGTACAGGTCTGGAGCTGAAAGTGTGTCTGCATTGAGGACAGCTGCAAACACCCTTTGGATCCTTCTGGTCCCAGTAGCAATTTACACAGTCCATACAGTAGCTGTGGCCACAGTGAAGAGTCACGGGTTTCTTCAACACCTCCAGGCATATAGAGCAGCACAAAGAATCCGGTGCTTCACTCTTCGCTGCCATCTTCTTACTATACTTGGTTAGTTTCATTTCACTAAAAACAAAACTGCACTGTTGTGTAATTTTCTCAAAATGAAAGTGAAAGAAACAAAAACTATATTTACTCATTTGAGATAAATAAGTTTAAACTCAATATTAATTATTTGTCTCGAGATTAACTCTTGGCAAAAAAGATTTATCCCTAAGAATTGGGATGCCATAAAATACATACTTTCTCATAAATAGAAGATAGCATATCATATATTTTACTTTTCTGTCTCATGATGAGGCTATTATAGTTTTTATTGAGACGATCAATCAATTGTACAATATTTATTTACTGCTACAGCTGAATTTTCACCCTCTTCTAAATTTTATTTAAGATTTTTTTTAAATGTTGCACAGAAGTTTGGAAGTGGATCTTGTTTCCAAAATTTCCCCCGTATCTTTACCTGCTCTTTATATAAAATTAGCACAAAACAAATACATCTGATCTGTCACCTTTACCCTGTCTGGCAATGTGATCCTTCTGACGGTTAATACAATGTTTATTTTAATAATAATAGTGGAAACCCTTTCTCCCCCTTTTCTACGTCCTTCAGAGGTGGATGGAGAATCCAAAAACAATACTCCAGAGCAGTACTATATCAACAAAGCTTTACTCAAGTGCATTTAACAACTTGCCCAAGAAAACTGTCAAACACAATTAAAAAACATTTGCTTAAAAAGGTGTTCAAGACAAGTACTGATTAAATGATCACAGATTTTGTTTTAACAGTTAAAAAAAATTGAAATATAAAGTAGGTTCAAATTCTGATATTTTAAAGAGCAAGCATAGAATAAATACATACATATTTTATACCATAACACATTCAGGCAGAAGAAACACTTTGCCACCAAAAAAGCTTTTTCAACATAACATTTATGAAACCAATACTTACAAGATGGGTAGCATGCTTCCAATAACAATATAAAGAATTATTACTTATTCTATTGCACCTAAGTAATCAGCCTAATTCCAAACCGGCCCCTAAACACTAACCCTGAGCACTTACCCTCTTCCAACGAAAGGGCCGCCACATAAGGTGCCATCCAACACCATGTAATGGTAGGCAGACTGGACCCTTCCACCCTTAAATAGCAAGTCTGCATCAGTGCAAGATCACTGGAATTTGGCAGCGGGTGTAACGGCGAACTAGTGTTGGAGCAAACATGTGCATTCAAATATAAGTCCCATTGGTTTGCTGCATCTCCATCACACTGACACGAAATTACAAGTTTGGAAAAACAAAAATATGTCATTGATACCTAAATGGAATGTCATCTTGAAATATTTTTATTTAATTGGTTAGATTTATTTTTAAGAAAATGGCAAATGTTCAATATTATGTCAACCTTCAGAGCTACATCCATCCACATGCGGCATCATTGTGTTGCCATAGCAACATTTCCATTTCCATTGTAGGGAAGAGGCTGTGCCATTCATGTTTATACCCTACACCAGAGATCACAGATTAGCGGACTGCGGTCCGGATCCGGACCCACCTGCTGGCTAATCTGGATCCAAACTGATTTAAAGCTTTTATAAATTACAGCAAGTTGTCAGACGACAGTGTCTAATTTCACTTGCACCGCTTCTCCTGTTAACATGGTAAAGCCCTCCAGAGTGTCCGGGACCAGGCTGCATGTGATACAAATTAACCAATGACCTGTCAGTCTGGGTTTCTGCTGCAAGCTTTTAGACAGAGCAGGCAAACCTGTGGCAAGCTGGGTGATGGGAAAGAAGGAGAAGATGATGAGAAAAAAGAAAAAGAAATTGTGAAGTGCTGGAAAAAAGTGCAGTGAACTGGTGACAGAAAAGTGAAATGTTGTGCTCAAAGATAACCCTGCACATTTTGAGTATGTTTGGCCAAACCTTCTGCTGTGAAGCATGAACATAAACAAAAATAAATATCGATCCAGGCTCAAAATGAGCACCTTTATATGTGCTTGAGTATGGCTTTGTCGCCATTCCAACCCAAATTTAAAGCCTTGCAGGGCAGCCTAAAGCCCACCTCTCTCATTAAGCCAGAAGAAAGAAAGAAAGAAAGAAAGAAAGAAAGAAAGAAAGAAAGAAAGAAAGAAAGAAAGAAAGAAAGAAAGAAAGAAAGAAAGAAAGATACTGTCAGTTCAGTCGTTTTGTTAAAAAAAAAGTGACTCAGGAAATTGTCTATATACCGAACTGAACGATTGTTGTTCTCTTCTTCAAAAACAATTTAGATTTTGAAATGGAAAAAATGGAAAAACGTTAGATCTTTTTATTTAAAAATTCTATGTATAAACACATGGATGTATAAACACCTGCATTTTATTTCAGTTTTAAATTTTGTTAAAAGTTCTCTTTTCTTTTTTCTTATTATTATCAGTTTCAATATTTTCTTTTTTGTTTAAAAAATGTTTTTCGGTTTAAAATATTTTTAAATTAAAAACAAAAATGACTTTCATTTAACTTTATGACCCCAACTTATCTCCTGACCAACCTCCTTTCACTTTTCCCTTGTAGCATTGGTAACCATGGAAACGACGGGAGCTTCCACTGGGCTGCTTTTTTCAGGAAGAGGCGGAGTGTGTCCCCCCCCCCCCCTCTCTTGTTTCGTTGACTTTAGACTGACGATGGAGCTCCCTCGGACGATTAGAAAACGCTTAGATAACTTTTCTCGCAATATTTTATTTGACCAGAGTTCTTTTTTGACCGAGTTGTCCAAAGGAAACGAGGGATTTTTGCCTCACGGTAAACAGAAGCGCGAGACGAGCTAGCAAAGATGCTAGCATTCCTGTATTCTGCATGCTTTGTGTATCTTTTTTGTTTACGTGTAATGTATATCAAATAGACACATTGAACGCGTGTTATTGGGGTTAAATTGCTGCTTTTTTTTTAAAACTGTTTTCAGACAAACGGGTTCTCTCCAGCCTCCCACTGCAGATGTCGTTATATTTTAACATGTGGTTCTTCCCTTGGTGGTGGATCTGTGAAGCTGTAATGCTGGAGCTCAAGGTGAGAAGATATTAGCTGAGATCAGTGAACAAGACAAATAATCCAAACTGGTATATGGCAATACAAAAAATTATATTATGGATTAATATTAGGATTATAATTAACATATACATCTAAAATACCTTTAAAAGTGTGCAGCATGTTATCAACGCCAAGTATAAGTAAAATCTCTGTTTCTGTTAAAATTAAATATATGCTACTATGTATTAGCTTAGTAATTCAGCAACAGTAATTATATGTTTTAAAACTGATTGTTTATTTGACTAATATGCCTTTGAAAAAGCACTGCTTTTTGTTAAACCAAAATACAAAGTAAAAAAATGTTTTAATGCTTTTGTGTTTGTCACTTCGATCAGTATCCTGCATTGCCAGACTACTACAAGTTTATCCTTGTCACTATTCTGCTCCTGATGACTCTGATTGAGGCCATTAGACTTTATCTTGGTTATGTTGGGAACCTGCAAGAAAAGGTAAGACATTGCTTAGATGACCAACAAGAACCTAGTTGATAAGTTTACCATTAAAATTGTGATGTTTATACCTATGTATTTATTTTTTATGTTTTTAAAGGTCCCAGAGCTTGCAGGCTTTTGGCTGCTCACCATCCTTTTGCAGTTTCCGCTCATTCTTTTCCAGCTGCTCAATGAAGCCATTCTCATCCAGCCCTTGGAGAGGGGTGTCCACATAGTGCTCACCATATTCATTCTAATACAGGTACCTGTGCCCTCTTACCAAAACTTTAGTCACAAAATCCCTACTTTTGATGTCAAAATGTGTCTTATCGTGTAAGACTGTTACTAAGTGAGATCTGGTGGGCTTCTTTCTTCTTGGATGATCCAGGCCGTCTCAGGTTTTTCAGCCCTGCGCGGCATGGTTAGACACACAGGAAGCCAGTTTCACCTCCACCAGTTTGACTGATTTTGGAGCATCCGATGTCCACATACATCACCTTCTAGAGTGCCATGGCTCACAAGGATACAACCTTTCTGTACATCATCCAAAAGTAATGACTTTAAAAAGGGACTTCACATGTATCATATGAAAAATATTTTCTTATCGTTGATATTTCAATAAAATATTTATTTTTGTATTTCTCTCAAGTGATGGTGTTTTTGTTATATACCTTTTAATGAGTTATCCCCACCTACTAAATTAATTCCATGTTTTTGCCAGAATCGGTATTATCAGAATCTTTGAAAAATTAAAAATAGAATGAATTATGGATGAAACCAATATTAGTTGTATTTCCAGGGGGAAAAAAGTGACATAAAAAGGATGTATTAACATATTCCACATCACCTGCAAATGGAGGTTTTATTTTGTTGATTGAAGACATATTGAAGAGATTCCCCAAAGATTAATCTTATTTCCCTTTGCTTCCATTAAGGCTCAAATAAAATGTCAAATATCCAATTTTCTCTCAAGGGGATGTCATAGCTGTGTGAGTTTTTTTTTTCTTCTGCTCATGAGATGGTAATGATGATATATTCGCTGAAAATGATATGTTCCTTAGAACAACTTTAACCTAGGAGGTGTAAATTAAATACATATTATGCCTGTTTGGATTTTGTTTTATAAATGTCTTCTGAAAAAAATGTAAAAATAGGACTTTTCTAAACTGGTCAAAATCGAGATGAATTTATGCAGCTGCAATAAAGCTTTTTATTTATCAGTGGGTCTAACAAATTTTGCAGGCACGGTAAAGAACGATTGTCCTGATGACCCTTTTCATGAATCCTTTCGACCTCTGCTCCACTGTGTTGTTTTGGTCATGCCTGTGAGCAATTTAGTGGCACCGATGGATAAAAAGTCATTTGAGACCTTCTGTAAACTTCTGTTGCTGATAACGGCTGTGGATGGAGCGACGCCTGGACCTGTCCTGTCAAATGCAGAAGGAGAAACCCTGGCAGAGAGCAGACACAAACCCCAAAAAGTGAACAGATTAGACATCAACTGTTGACCTCCTAAGGACACAATTCCTCTGTCAAGCTTACCTGCACGAAGCCATAAAGAAATTTGATAAACCTGTAAGAAAACCAAAACTTTTTACTCCCACATATTTACACTGAAAGCAAACCAGAGCTCTCCTAGAAATGTTTAAACAAGCACGCAAACCTTTACAGCCTTGATAGGAAGACAAAGATGGTGGACAGCTGTATTGTTTGATCTGCATCAGATTTGAAGGAGGAAGGCTCAGAGTGAGAAGCTGACAGCTGCAGCTCGTCTGTCTTCTCTTCATCACTTCATCGCCTACAAACATGTCAGACATATGGAAAACTCTTAGATTGTCTACTGTTCTGAAAGACTAGTTCCATCTGAGGTCTCCAGAGCAGCAGTACCTGATGGAGGTGACACAAAGGTTAACGTACTTGGGACGTCCTCTAACCCGTGGTGATTGCATGATGTGCACAGGTTTTCCTGACAGTTCCCCTAAAAGACAATAAATCCTTTAAAATAATGCAAAAGTCTAAATTCCTTCAGTACGTTCAGCAGTGTCAAAAAGAATGGAAGGTAATCGAGTGCGAGACGTCAGTGCCGGAGCATTACCTGGCTTACCTCCTCAACATGAGTGGTTGGAGATGTGATTTCAGATTTCCTCCTCAGACCTTTTGGCTTTAAGACAAAAACAAAACAACAAACAGCTTCTAGCTTTAAAAAGGTCACACACATTTATATCCTACAGCACATACCCGCCATCTCCTCTTCTGTCCTCCAACAGTGTTCTCTTTTTTTTTCTCTGGATCTGTTTTTTGATGAGACACACCAGAGTCCTGCAAAAAAAAGCTGACTCATCACTCTCCATTGAAGCAATCAACATATTAACCTGTTAAAAGACTATGGAGCCATGCAATCTTACTTTATTACTGCTGCTGCTCTCCACAACCTTTGCCGGTTTGTTACTCCTCATTCGGTCCAGATGGAATCTCTGTCTTTCCCTACGACTTATTAATTTTTTCTTTTTCTTCTCAACAGTAGTTTTTTTATTCTGAATAACATATAATTCAAATCATTATGCATTATGTTTGCAGTTGCTCAGAGCTTTAAGAACTAATGAGAGATCAATTCAAGCAAATAGAATTAGCCAGCAATACCTCTAAACCTTTTTGCGGGTGCAGCAAGTGAACAGGAAGTCCGTCAGAATCTGAACTATTTGAGCCACTTGTGCTGTAAAAGCAATGAAAAAACAATTTGAATAAGCCATTTCCACATGGCTTTCCTGTGATGCAACAAATGTGTTTACCTAGTTTCCAGTTCTGACATATAGCAGTTACTGTCTGTGACAGAATCCTTGTTCATTTTCCTCTTAACATCCTTTCTCATTAAGGCCAATGCATCTGTTAGACAGTATGCCACCTAAAATAAACAGCAAAGAAAGTTATTATACATGTTGGCTGTTGATCTAATATTTATACCCCTCCAATTTTGACACATTTGGTCTTATTATGTTCCTAAATTTCATGTATGCATTGGAATTGAATTTTATGTGATACAAACAAACAAAGCAATCCATATAAAAATGCTATTCAAAAATTAATTAAAATTTTAAAAAAAATGAGAGCTTGACTTCACACTATAAAATATTGAGGATATAGTTGTAATCAGTGGCGGCTGGTGGAGTTTTCTCCAGGGGTTATAAATTCAAAATACCGGTAGACGTTTAATTAAAACCAATCAAACATATACCAAGTTATCACACCATTAGTCCAATTACCATTACCAGTCCTCCCCTAAGCCAAGAGAATTGAGTGCTTCAGGAGCTGGAGGCAACTGATGAGGTGAAGCCCAGGCAACAGGCCCCTAATGCTCCAGCATCAGATCCTCTTCCAGCATGGTAAAAATCCCATTTGGATGCTAAGATCCTATCCAGATCAGTCTGCCATCACTGCACTTACCTTATCAGGGCTGCACTTTAAAAAATTAAATTGTCTAGAGAGCTGTTCTAAAAAAATATTCTTTTTGTTTACACTTTTACACAAAATTACTAAATAAATCTAAAACTCTAAGTCTATATATTTATATGAATGCCAACAACAACAAAAACATTATAAAAACATTTTATAAAAACAAAACATTTCATGTACATGTGTACTTTTTGTACATAAATCTTGCTCTTCTGAGGCTCTTTGAAGGCATATCTGTATTTTGCATGGTCCAATATTGTTTCATGAACCTAAAAAAATAATGTGCCAGTTTATTAATGGAGAAGATAATAGTCAGCTTTAGCTGTGGAGCTGTGAGAGAAGACTATGAGAGCGGAGCTGTGAGTGCGGAGCTGTAAAGGTGGAGCTGTGAGTGCGGAGCTGTAAAGGTGGAGCTGTGAGGGCGGAGCTGCGAGAACATGTGAGTCATGCACATGGTCTTATTTTGCTTTATCTCTTGCCTTAGTTTGATCAGGGTCACAGAAGTCCAGCAGGGTGTCACAGAGGCAAAAGCCCATTGACTTCAAGTCCCCAGTAGTAAAATGGGTCCCTCTTCTGTCATCTAAAGTAAAAACAGACAACACTGCAGAACAGGGCATAATAAGTCCACATTCATAACTTTATGAACTCCAAGCCAGATTTACTCAGAGTGGAGCCGCCAAAGGTAGCCTCCATGGTGTAGCTGTTTTTGATGCCCAGTCTCCACATGACGATCCGCCCTGTTCCCTCCTTACTCTTCTGCACCCGGAACTTACAGCTCTGGAAGGAGAACTAAGAGGCAGAATGATTTAGTTGTTGACACTTTAAACATCAGATGAATTCTAGAAAGATGTATGTCTGCAGAAATATTTAGAGGTTCACCTTATTGCTCGCATTCTTGCTCATCATTAGTGGAAAGACCCTCTCCTGCAGCTTGATGGAAGCATTGCCTCGACTGTTGCATCCATACATGAACACGTTGTTTTTGCGGTTGTGACCATGGAAATCACAGTAAAGAACTACTTCTTTTTCAGTCATCAGTCTACAGAAAGTGCAGCAAGGCAAAAAAACTGTTTAGAGAATATTTCCAACATATTGGGCCCAAATGTATGAAAAAGAAATAACATACCCCTATAGCTGAAAATTTACAATGTGAAAAACTGTGCCAGTTTCTATGATCAAATGGCAAAAATAAAAAATAAGGATCACAACATGAATTTAATGTTAAAAGATATGGATTTTAAATTACCAATAATGCCATAATGGAAGATGAAGTACATTTAAATATTTTTCACAATATTCTCCAACACACTTTCTCAGAAAGAAACAGTATTAATGTCTGAATGCTAGCCTCTATGTTCCTCTTTAAGTTCCCATGATAAATTATAGTTTCATTTCTTTTATATCATGTCACCTTTCGACCATATCCCTGGTGTGCCAAACACAAGGAAAGGAATCTTTGAGCAGCGTCTTATAGTTTCTGTTGAGGTCTCTGCCTGCCAGGGAACACCTGTAGTTTCCCACCACGACACCATCAGGGTTCAACATCGGTACAACCTGCATTTAACACAGAAAAACACAGACTAGGACAGAGGAATATCTGTGTCGTTTAGTGACAAGTACATCAGTCAATGTGGCTACCTTGAAAACAAAGTTATCCCTGAGAACTTGTGCATCCTCTGAGTCTCCAAGCAGAAAGTCTAAAAACCCCTCCATCATCCAGGATGCGTTGGTTTCTCCCGGATGGACCCGTGCTGTCACCACTACAGCCTTCCTGCTTCTCACATCCTCCCGGCTGGTTCCTCTAGATGTTATTGTGATAACGTACACAGCGTTCCCTGCGAGGCTATTGCACAGGATGCGCACTTTACAGTATGATGCTACAGCTGGATTGGAGGATATCTGCTTGAGGTAGCCCTGCAGGCGGGAATACGTGTAGGGGTAGCAGTGGGCCAGGTAGCATGTGTCTGAGTCATAGGGGAACTGGAAAGTCCAGGTGAGCGAGTAAAGATTGATGGCAGCGTCGCTCTTCTCCTTTGTGTTCTACACAAACACAAAACCAAACATATAAAAGATTCTTTAAAAACATCAGGAAGTATCGTTTCCTTTCTGTCTTATATGACTTGCTGCTTAAAATTCCTTTTGTAAAGCTGTTAATCTGGAACTCGACCCTCTAGCAGCACCCGTCAAATCCATGATGCCGGAAAACCTGTAGGTCACTGATAAAGTTGGGAGCGCTGCACTGAGTTGCGTCACTTGAGCAAATCCCTTACAAGAGTCAGACTTTTCATTTCTAAAGAAGAGGTTAAGACTTTTCTGATGAGAAGGCACAGAGAAAGCTGGATGGAGCAGCCAGAAATGATGGCCGCTCACAACCACCAGGTCCACAGCGACCACAGCTGCAGGAACATGAGCTGAGCAAATGCAATCTACAGGAACCGAGCTGGTATCTGGGGTCATGATAGTCTTTATTATATTCCAGGTGGGGGGGGGTTCTAGTCATAATAAGAATGTTGATACATAATCTAAACAATGAATTGGACTTGATGATGATTAAAAAACTCCAGAAACTGGGCGAAATATCTCAACCTTTAATCCTACCATTTTTCCTTTTTTCAATTCAATTTTTTCATTGGGGGATTAATAAATGTGATTAAATGCAGCTACCAAAAGATGCTTAATGTATATATCACAGTTCTTTATGTAACTGGTGTCCTGAAGAAGCCAACTCTAAGTGATTTCTTTTCAATTATCTCTACTTTCTACTCCTTACCTTTTAAGAATAGAAATGCTATTTTTCTTTAATTTGAGCTCATTCTCATTATGGCCCGTTGGTATTCCAAAAAAATAAAAACTATCAAACTAATTTGCTGAATCCAGACAATCCATTTCTTTGTGATTGGGCTCGGTCCTGCACCAACTTGTTGCTTGCCACATACTAAAATTTAACTAAGTTAAATTTGGCTCTGTTGCCATTAGTTATAAAACCAACACGATTAAGAATAAGGAAGTTATCATCCAGAATTGAAGAAAAATGTTCCTTTAATATGGTAGCGCAGTAAAGCAGCTGTCCTTAACATTTTTTCCTTTAACTTTTATACTTTAAATAGTTTTAAAAATGGTACTTTTAATTCCAGTAAACTATATCACTGAAGAAAATAATCTGTTTTAGACTCACAGAGATTTTCTACCTTGTGTGCCTGCTGTATGACTTTAATCTGCTTTGAAAGTAAAGGTTGGTAATGAAACATGTAACTTCAAGGGAATCCAGATTGTAGCTTTTATATATATATTTTTTTATTATGTTTTTCAAATAAAACTTTTCAATTGTGGTTAAGGAAGCCTTTCAATATGTGATTCAATCACACTAAAGGTAAATCTGTACTCAGGGGGTTTGTTTGGGTACATCATTGAACATCATGAAGCCCAGGGAACACGTCAACTTATTTTGTTATCCTGAAATAACAGCAAAAATTACCCTAAAAAAATCTACTGGCCAATTAACCAAAGCAGATCTGGATGCTACCTGAGTGCAGTTATGATAGTAAAGGATATTGGACCCGACACGCTGCCATCCAATCCCATCCTCCTCAGCCGCTCTCTCAGAGTACAGGAGAGGCCTCATGCCTTGGGAATACAGACTGCTCTTCTTCATCAGGTTGATGATGGTGAAGCGGTACGTCACTCCAGCTTTCATGTTCCTAACCCTGAAGTAAAACCACTGCGTGTGCTTCTCAGTGTACATGTCTGCACGCAGGGTGAGTTCATAGTCGTAGACGCCCCTGAAAAAGCAAGAAAAACCTGAATCAAATGTTGAATTGTAGTCATAACCATTAAAACTGCCAAGGAGAAAAAGACAAATTAGGATTAGGCTAAAGAGACTCACACTTGGATGGCTTTTTGAAGGTTCCCACTTTCAAAGCGAGATTCAAACTCGAGGATGTTATCTGATGGTTTGATAAGGGAGGTGGGACTCCTAGTCGCCATGCTTCCTCCAAAACGAGAACAGGTAAAGTACAGACACTTTGTGGCTTAAATAAAGAAGAAAAACGTATTTTTTTAAAACACAGATTTATGAAGTATGGTTTTCAATAAAATAAACTAATAAAATGATGTACCTTTTGCTAAAGTGCCTCTATGCTTCTTTAACTTTCCTATATTTTCTCACATTAAACCACAATTTTGCTTTCTAACAGATGCACATAGACTCTGAATGAAGTATAGTAATGTTTGTAACTGTAAAGTGAAAAATGGGGGGGAAATGTTTATGGTGCAAAAATACTGTAGTGTGAGAATGCAAAGATGTGTGGTCCCTATTTCTTTAGTAGAGTTAGTATAAAGTATAAAAAAACTGTTACTAACTAGCAATAATCTGATCTCGACTTGGTTCCACAGAGCATGTTTTCACATTCACTATTACAGTCACTGATATCCTTCTGTTTATTCTGTTGTTTTGTGTTGCGTTGAGGACATTAAAGGTTTAAAAGTAATTGTAGGGCTGTGTTTGGCTCTTGGGTCTTATGGAGCCTTTACAGTTTAGACAAAGGGTTTACATCCAATATCTAAACACAGAAACCTCCTGTTTGTCCTCATTTTCTGATTATTTGATTCATCTAAACTCTTCCTGTTCTAGATCAGTTGGAATTACCAACATTATTTCTATTTGAATAATGAATTCCCCAAATAAAATCTGAGGGAAATATTTAACACATCCACAGGTGTTGCTCTATTTAACTCAGATGTAAACAAATAGAAACTGAAGTGTATAAAGCCATGACATCATCATCTGTGATTTCATGTAAAGTTAGAATAATCAATTATGAAAATATAAAGTAAGTTATCCAGTTATGGATAGTTGTGAAAATGCTTTCTAATTATTCTTGCATTAAATGTGATGTCTTATTTAATAGATTTGTAAATATCTCTTCTATCTGTATGTTTACTTTAAGGTGTCATAGACCAAACCCATAGTTACCAAGGTCAGCACAGTACACCACATTTCCTTGTTCGTCTCCCACTGGGATGGGGGCCTCTTCCTGTCCTGAGGGACAATAAAATGGCTCTGGGTCTGGAGGTTCCCAATCTAAAAACAAAACATAAACACTCGTACAGGTAATCCACTAACAGAGTGGTAGAAGGTCAAACAGAGTGAAAGCTTTACCTATGTGCTGGATGACGTCAGTGATGACTTCACTCTCTACTGGCCATCGGGGACGGAGGAAGTTAACCACATCCGGTGGTGGCCTTAGAACCAAAAGCGGCTGTCCACTGTCTAAGCTGAAGAGCAGCTGCCTGGTCCCTAGGCTCTGGCTCAGATCGTTGCATACTGCAGGAACACGAACCACAACTAAAACGCTGCTCTTTCTCCAAAATGCTGTGATATAACCACTTAACTGGTTAGTAACTTGACTCGGTTACTTTCTCTCTACTTTTTCCATTTTATTACATTTCTCATACAAATAGCACAGTATACACCTAATATAAATGTGAAGATCAATTGCTTACATTGCCTCTTCCTTGCTAACTTCTCCTCATCTTCCTCTGAGTCGGAGTCACCAGCATCCAGAGCCTTGTAGGTATTCCAGAAACTCTCGAAAACCTTTGCAACAGGGTCTGATGTTTTCACTGTCTAAGAGCAGACATGAAATTTCAATGATTTGTTGCTTTAGTCTGTTTATCAAGAGCCAACAGTTTTGTTTTAAATTGGCTTAATTGACTGAACTACACACTACTGATACTCTCAACATTCTATACATCTCTAAATTATGACTTCCTTTGCCTTTGAGTGCAGGTAACGAGACAAACTATTAAGTGTTTTACAACCCATATGCAGGCATTTTTTGCTTATTTTGAAATGATTCCCTGCCAAATGTACATCACTCTTGCGTGATAAATAGCCTGATACTAGTAATTCCATTTCAAGATCTTATGTACTAGATGTTTTTTGTTGTGTGAAATATTTCACGTTGTAAAAAAATAGGTAAAATCTGTAAGGGTAAAAATCTCTCCCACCTGTATTGTAGTAGATCAGTATTTCCCAACTTTTTTTGACTAGTGTACCCCTTTGTGAATTTTGTCTTAACGTGAGTACTGTCCAAAGTGGAACATACAATAAAAAGTATTTCATTTAATCTTTTTAAGTTTAGTATTTAATTCTTTGGCATTTTATTCTTTCAAACTTATATATAAAAAAACAGCATAAATATGTTCCCTCAAAGTTAGTAAGGAATCAAAATAAATACAAAATAAAATCACATTATAAACCTGTATTTATAAAACTGGAGCTCCTCTGAGTAACTCCAATATAATCACATTTAAACTTGAGGAATTGGGAAAATTAGAACAAATACTGATCAAATATTATAGTTAGACTGACTCCATTACCTGAGCTTGGCTTGTTAAGCTCAGGTGTGGGAAAAACACCTGATCCCAGGCTGTTCTCTACATCCAGCCTTTTCCTCTGCTTGGTTTTGATGTGTGTCACAGCTAAAGGTGAACTCAAACATACAATAACGTACTTTTTGGTTAAAATCGGCTTGTTTTATTTTTCATTTCTTTTATTTTACTACCCGAGTAATAAAATATTTTCATGTACCCCTTGCAATGCACTCGTGGACCACCAGGAGTACAAGTCCCCCCTGTTGTGAATCAATGCTTTATATCAGGGTTCTTCAAAGTTTTCTAGGCCGAGGACCCCCAAACCGATGACGAGATGGAGCAGGGACCCCTAATTATATATATTATATGAAATTGTGTTATATCAAACAGGTCCAGTAGTCACTCTATTACAGATGGTGTAATGTAACCAAAGTATGCTGATGAAGGTTCTCAGTCATCCAGGTCATAGTCATTCCGTAAAAATTCAAAAAAAAAAATATCCACTGGACTTGGTTTTCAAGATTTGAAGACGTTTCGCCACCTCTCCAGGAAGCTTTCTCAATTCAAATGTCTGGATCCGCAGTGAGTTTGAGTCTTATATAGACAACGCCTTGTATCGCTTGGAAACATGCAATGGTAACCGATGAAAGGGTCGTTAGTTCCATCGTTAGCCTGTAATATCTGAACCTGTCTATGATTCTAGGGGTCGGTCGTTAAAGGGGGGATTGCCATTAAGGGGGGGATTGTCTCCTGTAATACCTGAAACCTGAAATTTTTTTTTTTTTAATTTTTACGGAAGGAGTAACCAAAGTAATTTCACCCTGGGATTATTAAAGTATTTCTGATTCTGATTTCTAGTTGATGGGACAGGTGTTGTAAATGAAAAGGTGTCCAGCTTGAAAGAGCTCATGTGTGTCGCTAAATGTGTGTATTGATGACTGAGAGACATCTTCTGCCTCCATTTATCTGTTTACTACAGTGTGTTAAATTCATGTTAATGTGTATTTAAAGACATTTCAATTAGTGGAAAAAATTGCAGGGGGAATATAAAACAAAGTATAATCAACCAAAACTTTCACGACCCCCATGCTGTATCTCTGTGGACCACTTAGGGGACACGGACCCCCTATTGAAGACCACTGCTTTAGATGAAAGATAGTTCTTGCAGATCCCATGGTCTCCATCACCCAAAGAAGAGCAGAACATTTTGAAAATTTCTTTTCAGAAAGCAATCAAACACAGATGTGTTTTTCAGTTGAATATCTAAGATGTTACTGAAATTATGGTAGACTGAAACACTGCACGATGCTCTGAATTCTGACTGAGCATATTTCCAAAAGCTATACTAGATTTAGTAAGATTACAGTATATTTACATCTTAACGAGAAACCCCAAAAGGTCAGACCCAAGCTTAAAAAACAGATCTGAGTGAAATCGGACGTCCCCATAGACACGCTTCCTGCAGACTGATCAAAGCTGTTTTAAAAAGAAGAATCTGTGTAATTTTAGTCTCTGGATGTGCAAAAAAATAAAGAAATTAAAATAAAGAAATATAATTGAAAAATTAAACAATGTTTAGTGATTTAGAAGTAGTGATTTAGAAATACTAAAAGCATACGTACAACACATTTTAAGATGTCTTTTTATAAATAGTTTAGCAATCCCACCGCAATATAAAGTTTATAGCTGTAATTAAGGTTGTTTTTTTTTTTGTTTTTGTTTTTTTCTGTAAAGCAAACGTTTTCTTAGCCTGATTAAATCAATTCAACAAAGGTTCCAGATTAATTCAGAAACGGTTTTAAGTGAAACTTACCTCTGTCATTTTCGGACACGTACTTCTTTGTGACTAAAAATCCATGGGTAAAGCAGGGTTTGGCCGTTGCTAAGCAACAAGGTACCACAACACTGTGTTTGCCATGGAGACCTATGTATTTAAGACCTTCCTACACCAGAAGAGTTTTAAACCACAGTTAGCCCCAAAATAACAGTTTTTACCAAAATAGTCGCCAAGAAAAAAAAGATCCCATCAGATTAGACTGAAACCTCACTGACTTTCCTCTAACACACTGGGGAAAAAAATTTCACTTACTTTTATTAATCTTGTAGAACTAAGCTCCCTATTGAGCCAGTTAATACATCTTAAAATTCATTAAAGTTCCACTTTTATCAAATAGTTAAAATAAAAAGGTGTTCAGATTATATTTTATATACTTTCAGATTTTTTTTTCATTCAGACCTCACATCTGCAAGGCTAGTGTGTTTTCTACTATTATGGATTGTTTGGAACAGAAAGCAGCAGTTCCCATAACAGCACAGACTCTTTCCCAAGGTTTATTAAACATTTTACTCCTTTCTTCAACTGTCTGTAGCTTGTTTGTATTAACTGCATGTGGAGATCTTCACAGCTTTTTTGCAGACTTTAAGTCAGTGAGTGAAACCTTGCCTAGATCAAAACATCAGGCTGTGCGTTACAATTGTCTTATTCTCATCTATTCCCCATTGTGGGACAATGAAGGGATTTTCTATTCGATTCTTTCTTTGCAGGGATAAAAAAAAAGGTTTGAATTACCATCAATATATTATTTAATCCGATTGCATAGTTGCACCCAAACTTTTGGCCAGTTCTTTAGACAACAGTATTCTTTTCACAGCAGGCTTTATATGTAAACAGATGTGGATCAACAACACATAAAAAATAGTAAGACTAGCACTACTTTAATTATGCTTTACTCAGTTAAAAGGAAGTAGTCATCCAAAATAAAACAAAACTTTGCAAATGGCTACTCATTTACTAAGCAATTACTGGCTCATAACATCTCAACCAAAACCACTGCATAATAGCACTATATATATAATGAAATGCACTTTATGGAATCAAAATGTTCATATACTGTCTGAAAGCTGTACTAAACTAAATTTAATTTTGTATACACTGTGTATACAAAATGACAAGTTTGTCTAATGTTTAAAATTATGTAAGTTACGAGCAAATTCTGGTATTTCAAAGTATAGAAATGCAAATAATATATTTTTTGCAGAAAAAAAACATTTTGTCCTGCATAAACTTCTAAAACCAATGTTTACAGTAGTTATTGGTAGAAAAGGAAAGAACCCGCAGTGGCAATTTCTACCATTTTTTCACCTGGTCAATAAATAGCTCAGATTATGGGGAATTCACTATCTGCATTTAATCCATCTCTTTGGGGAGCGGTGGGATGCCATTGTGCAGCACCCGGGGAGCAGTGTAGGGTAAAGGCTTTTGCTCAGGAACACAGAGAAGCGGCTGTGGTGATCAATCCGTGTACTTGCAACCTTCTCAGAGCACGAGTGCACTGCTCTAACACTCCAACACTCCCTAAAACACTAAAAGTGAAGTGTATAGTAATACAACTACTTCAAAAAGTATATTTTTTCTAAAAGGTAAATGTAACTGAGTGTATGTAAATACTTACTACCCTCCTCTGTATATAAAAATATAAAAGTAAACATCATTAGCTTTGAAAACTTTTAATAACTTTTTACAAAATGTACAAGCCCAGTGACAATCCCTCCCCGTTCCATCAAACTGGCCCATTCCTTCCCCCTTTATATACATAGATGTAAAAACACTCCTAAAAATAGACAACTCTGCCTAAAACTGTGGTTGACATCCAAACTGGGTATGTATAAAATGAACTTATTATGTGAGCACAATTGGCACATTTACAGATCTCATACAAAAGAAAAACAGGACAATGAATCGTCCCTCATGAGAATGGCCTGCCATATAAGGACTTTAACATGTGTCTGATATGAAGATAGAACAGTTAAGAAAGTCCACTGGTCGGTAAGCAAATCTCCATCTCTTCAGAGGGACGATGGTGTAGGTAGGAGCGGATTTACAACGTGAAGGGAGCCGGAAGGCGCTACGTGCTGTTCGTCAGCTTCCGTTTTTTCAAGCGGTCCCTCCAGTCCTCTGGTAGTGCTTCAAAGTTGGCATTTTTTGAGGCTTTTCCCCTAGAAATTGAAACAAATATTTTAACATCAAGTAAGCAGCAGAGGAAAAACAAATTAGAACATCAGCTGAGAATGAGAAACATACGTCATGAGCTGCTGTTGTTTCCACTCCTCAATGCTTTTCTTGTTGAGCAGATCTCGGTCTTCATCGCTGGAGCTACTCTTCTCTTCCTCATCCAGCTCCTTCTGGATGCTCTGCCACTTCTTAACCAGTGACGGCATCTTTGTCTTACTCTTCTTTGACTGTGGAAGAAAGTAAGAAAAAGAATAAAACTAAGTGACAAGCTTTTAGAGGATTATTCCTATGGCTATACAAGATTAATTTACAATTTTGAAATTGACAAATTTTCTGTCAAGGAAAAAATGTATGAGTGGGCAGATAGATAAATGGATAATCTGATGGGTGGGCAGATAAAGGGAGGACCAGTTAAATAAGCAAAACGGACGAGGAGAAAATCATGATAACAGGGACGGCTAAATATATGGATGCAGGAAAATACCAACCTTATCCTTTTTCACTTTCTTGACTTTCTCAACAGGTAAAGTTTTGGTTGCAGCTGGTTCAAAAGCTGGCTGCGATGGAGGCAGCGGTGGCTGAGGAGGTACCACTGGAACAGGAGGGGCTGGAGGTTCACAGGGGATCAGAGGGGCAGCCACAGCAGGGATGCCCCAGTAGGCGGCTGCTGGAATTAGAGGCGCTGCAGAAAAAGACAACTTTTAGGTTAAAGCGGAATCAAAAGAAAACCTTTAAGAATGTTCTCAAACTTCTGAAATGATTACACTGGAATATTTACACTATAACTATAAATTAGATTAAATCATAATAAGTGTTCAAATAAAAATTGAAAATATTTGGGTTTCTAGTCTGTGGAGGTTAAGAACCTTGTTTACCTGCAGTGACAGGCGCCTGGGTGTAAAGAATGGGACTGCTTCCAATAGTAACGGTTTTATTCCCCTGAACAGCTTTCCGTTTCTGACCTTTTCCAAAAGCAGCAGTCGACTCTACAATCTGGGTCATAGAGAAAGAATAGGGCAACGGGCAGCAACAAATCAAATGTAGATCAGTTGATCATTTAAACGGATTTCTCCTTCACCTTCATGTTGGCAGAGCCAGACCTCCCGCTGCCATCCTCCTCCGTTCCAGGAGCTGGGGGCTCCTCGTCCTCATCATCCACATCCATCTCCACCTCCATGATCTCACCATCGCTGTCGGGTGGTGGGGGAGGGGGTGGTGGTGACTCTGGAGGTAGAGGAGGGGGCGGGGGGTCGTTGGAGGGTGGAGGTGGGCTGTTGGGAAGCGGTGGCTGGGATGGTGACCAGAAGGAAGATGAACTGGGCTGAGGAGGTGGGGGCGGAGCAGCAGAAGAAGAGTCTGACAAAAAAACAAAACACAAAGAAAAAATAGAAATAAGTGGCTGTTCAAATTAGATGGAGACTTCACAGTTTTTATTTAAAGCAGCATATCTAATCATGAAGTCACCCCTTGTATAAAAAGATGCCCATTTGGCTAAAGTGCGGCACAGTGCTTTAAAACAAGATAAACCTAAAAAAAAAATCTAAAAGAGCCCTGACACTCAAGAACTCAAATAATTTAAAGGGGGAAAAAAATTCAGAAACAGGTGCTATTGAATAGAAAAAGAGAAGTCCTAGATTTTAAGTTGATTTAAAAATGGGTTTGAACATAGATCCAGAGAGTTGATTCAAGAGTCTTGGTGCTGCAACTGAGAAGACTTGCAAAACTCAAATTAGAGATGTAGAGTGAGACCATTGAAATCTTATCTAATCCAGACAGGCATATAGGACTGAGCCTTTTCACGCTATCCCACTGTAGGAAAAAAGTCACAGTTTCAGTCTCACTAAAGTTGTCTGTATAGCCTTTCCTACAGTATTTTTTAATATCTTAATCTTGTCAGAGAGAAAGTGCTTAGATCCTTCAGGTGTAGCATCCCAAACCTCCCCCCGTTGCTCCCCGTAGCTGCTTATTCTACAGGTTGCATGATGGCTGAAAAAGGAGTATTTTCCTCCCATGTTTGGCTCAAGACTGGGTGTAACGCTGCACCGTGAAACCGAGGTATGCTAAATGGAAATACTTAAAGGTGCAGTAGGTGATCTTGGAAAAACGGTTCCAGCAAGCTATATTTCCGAACATGCACAACAATGCCTCTCCCTTCAGACCAACCCCCGAAACCACGACTTCAAAAACACATGTACATGCCTGCTGTCTGTGTCTAGAGCAGCTGAAGCGGCACATCGCACGGAGCTGGCAGGGAGACAGGCAGCACTGATGATGCAGACCGCTATAATCACACCTATGAAACAGTTTATTAACGCCTAAATTAACTTAAAATGACAAAATCTGCCATCAAAACATGTTCGCTTTTATTATCCTGGTGCCTGCAGTTTGGTGGGGGAATACAGTCACCGGCTCGGGTTTGAACGCCCTGTCCCCGGCCGCCGTTCCGGTCCAGTCAGTCACCCAAATCCCACCATAGCTGTGCTTTTTGCATACAAGCATTGATTTTTGTGATTTCACTAACTACTTTGTTAAAATAAATTTATAGATAAAACACAAACACAACTTGAGTAAGGAAGGAATCAAAAACCAGTTCCTGTTAAGAACCGGTTCTGTGTGTTCCAATTCCATGACACCGTTTGGCAGCTCGCTTAACGTTCCAGGCAGCACCAGAGCCTAGCGCTGGGCAGCACGACTTGCGTCACGTTTCTACGCAAGTTATGTCGCGTTTTTTTTACGCACACAGCCTTCAGTAACCAAGTACGACGTGACCAGGCCCAAGTCTAGAAAAGCAAATACATTTTAAAAATAAGTCCCAACGGGTAAACTGATC